TCTGTAGCTGTATCCCAGCATCTCCTCCTCCTCTTCCTCCTCCTCCTCCTCCTCCTCCTCCTCCTCTGGTCCTCTCAGCGTCTCTGATCTTCTGATCAGGATCAGCCGTTACTACGAGCTTCAGAGAAACCACAGCTGCAGGTGAGTCTGTAAATCTGATCATGAATCAATAAATCAATATAACGATTGATGACTGACGATGTTTCCTCCAGCACTGAGGACGAACTGACCAATCAGGAGTCAGCGCTGTCTGATTCACAGGAAAGAGCCGAAGGTGAGACTTTAATCAACAAAGTACCAAAAGCTGCAGTTCCTCTGACGGGCACCAGCCGGCTCCAGAGTCTCCATAATGGTTTTCATTGTTGTTCAGGTCCCTGCGTGGACCCCCACCTCAGACAGATCTACACCGACCCCCCCCTCACGCTGACCCCGCCCTTCAGCCCCTGGGTGAAGGAGTATCGCGCCGAGGTGACCTTTGACACAGTGATGGTTCGAATCCGGCCGGAGCCCGTCAGCTCGGCCTGCCGGGTCCACCTGGACGAACACCAAGGCCCCAGGTAGGTGAGACCAGGACCCCTGACCTCTGACCTCACAGCACAGACTGCTGAAGGCTTCTGTTTTCCTCCAGGATGGCGAACTACCCGGTCGGCCTCGGCAACAGTCGGATCAGCATCCTGGTGACGGACGATGCTGAGCCGGAGCCCGTCGTCATGACGATCTACACCGTCCACGTGTACCGCGAGAGCCGACCCAGTCTGCCCATGTTCGGGGATCATGTGATGTGCAGCTTCGTGCAGGTGAGTCCTCCTATTGGCTGCTGGGCTGTGGGCGGGGCAGGAAGTGAAAGTGGACCGGAGGGAAGCTCATGAAATAAATAAACAATGTTCTTGTTGTTGTTAAATATGGAGTCCGCTAACGTCTGCAAACGACCAGCACAACATCCAGCGCCGGATAACGTTATTCAGCGTGGCTCGGTTGCAGCGAGCTTGTTAATTATAGTTATCCCAAGACGAATTTTAAAGAAACACATTCAGCAAAACCACAGCGTACGTGCACCTCCTCCCTCCTGCTGAGAGCCTCAGTCCGAGCTACCACTGGTTCTGCTGGTTCTGCTGGTTCTGTTGGTTTTAGGACTAAACACGCACCCGTCCATCCCTGGAAAGCTGTGATGTTCGTGTACTGAGAGCGAAGCGCCGTCTGGAGAGCAGAGCTGTGTGAGATGGGCCTCAGTGCTGGTTGGACTGATTGTGGATGCAGACTCACGTTTCCCGCTCAGACCAGGTTGTTGCTGTTAAAGAGAATGTGAGGAATTCAAAGGAAATGAGGTGCAAATGTGTTCGAGTCCAAATAACACGCAGCCACAAGAGAACCGAGCCCT